ATGAAATAACTCAATCATTAAGGCTTTGTTCACTTGAATGGATTTGGAGGAGAGTGATTGAGAAGATTTGAGAGGATTTAAAGGTAAATTTTTTTGTTGTTTATTTGAGTAGATTTGGAGGTAAGTGAAGGTGGATTTGGAAGTAAATTTTTTTAATGTGTCACGTCAATCAAATCCTACACTAATTCTTACAAACTTTACTTCCAAATCCACTTTCATTTGCCTCCAAATCTACTCAAATTAAACAACAAAAAAATCTACCTTCAAATCCCCTCAATGACTCTCCCCCAAATTCATTCAAGTGAACAAGGTCTAAAGGCCCATGTGGTGCAAGCATTTTTAATGATTTTGAGTGTTTGAGGAAGTTAAGTTTGTACCTAAATTGACTTAATATCTTTTAATTATCTTGAAAATAAGAGATATTTGTTTAAAGGTGAAAAGGTAATATATGAAGGTGTTAAGGAATTAATAGTAATGATAAAGGGTGTGTGAGGAAGAACGACCTATATGTCTTTGAAGATATTGTAACATTTTATTAATATTGTGAACATTGTGTTAAAAAATCTTGCAAATTTTACTTTAATGTAAGATAACTGATAACAAAGGAAATTTTTAATCGTATTTGTAAAAGAATAAACTTTAAACCTAATTCAATCATATAAAATCGACTTGTAAGGTGCGTTTTCACTCAATTATATACTATAAACTTGTATTATCACTAGTTGATATGAGATCTTCAACACCCTTTCACGTTGAGATATATATATCTTGAGTGTGAGACTAAACATTAATAGGTTATTTGATAACGAGTGACAAAATAAGTCTAATAAAGAACAATTTTTTTGATAACAAATGACACAGTAGGTCGAACAAATAACAAATTTCATTAAAATATATTCTAACGGGTGATTTCGATACTATGTAAAAAAAAACCTTTAAACATAATTCAATTTTTTAAAATTGACTTATAATTTGAAGTTTACACGTATTTATATATTATAAATTCGTTTTATTTCTAGTTAATATGAAATTTTTAACATTAATATTAAACTATTAGATCATACTATATAATAGTCAACAATTACATAAATTATAAATCTATCTTTAGTGAATTTTAAGAGTTATAAGCGTGTAACAAAAAGCAAAATTGATAAAAGAATGAAAAGCCAAATTATAAATCTATATTTCATTACTCTGATTTCTTCACATTTTACCTTTTCTTCTAAAATCTTTAATTTTGTTTCTTCACCGGTTCATCCTCTACCAACCAAGCACATACATAAAATTGAATAAATTTTATTTTCATTATATTTTTAAAAACAATTAACATAATTAAAATATTTTGTTAAATTAATTTCAGTCAGTATGATTAACGCAATTTGTTTTCTCTTTGAAAAAAAGAAGCCGAGTCAAATAGTTTTTAAAACAGACTCTTTAACATGTAATAAGTAGTTTACTCTAACAAAGTAAGAAACTTTGTAGTTTATATTTATTCTTTTTAATAAGGTTTAATAATGTAGAACATTCCTATTTTTGCAGGGTTTTCTCAATTAGGTCCTCGTATTGCAAAATATCTCAATTAGGTTCTTGAATGTGAAAAATTGAATCAATTTAGGGCTTGCCGTTATCTTGAGTGGACGGCGTTAAAAAATGTTGTGGGTGGCAGGGTGACATTAGAAGGTTTTATTGACATGACATATTATGGTGATCGGAGTTGGATTTATTTTATTTAGAAATTAAATTTTATTGAAATAAAATTATTATGTTAAATAAAATACAATTAATAATTGAAAACGCAATCCATCCTCAAGGCCTCCACCACCGCCTCCTTCGGCTTCATCGTCCTCTCTGACGACGCCACCGCTGCTTCTGATGCCTTCACACCCGACGACCTCGACGCCGCCGCCTGGCTCATCCCTAACCCCAATTTTGGGTCGAAATTCATGGACGTCCCTGACATCAAGTCCAAGGAGATCTTCTACTCAGAAATGGACCCCTTCCTCGATTTCGATTACTCAAACTCCTTCCACAACAACAACTCCGGAAATGACAGTGTCGTTCCAGTTCAAACCAAACCTTCCCTCGCTCCTTCCCTCATCAATAACCACCAACAATCAGAAAGTTTTTTCGACATCGATTTTTGCCGCACCAAACTCTCCTCCTTTAATTACCCATCCCAGTCTCTCAAGCCAAAGCATGAGTACTACCACCCAGTAACAAATTTGAATTTTTGGTCTTCCAGTGAATTGACTGGAGAATTGAATTATGTAACAGGTTTCGACGTATACTTTAAAGCGGCTGCATCTTCATCTTCACCTCGTGTAGAATTAGAATCTGTATTGTAAACTCTTTTCACTGCCTTACCTTCCCTGCTATCTTTTTTTTAGTATAAAAATGTCTCTTTTCTCTATCACCCTGATCACGGATCTCTTTCTCTATCACCTCGAACACTTTCGCCACTGCCTTCCACGTGATTCATCGCCAAGAGCTTCCTGATTTCACCTATTTCGCACGGATAAATCACTCCAAAATCTTCACACCAAGCCTACTTTCTCACCACGTTTACCAAATTTCGCACCCACTTAACAATTTTTTGCCTCGATAAAACCCTATTCTCCTAAAAATCCCCAATTTCGCACAAAGTGAAGAATAAAAATAAAATTCCCTTTCTTCTAATCAGTTCTCACTCAATTAAAACGTTGCATTTTCAATTATAAATTGTATTTTATTTAAACGTTGTGTTTTCAATCATTTTATTTCAATAAAATTTAATTTCTAAATAAAACCTTCTAATGTCACCCTGCCACACGCACAACATTTTTTAACGTCGTCCACCCAAGATAACAACAAGCCCTAAATTGATCCAATTTTTCACATTCAAAAACCTAATTGAGAGATTTTACTTTACAATACGAGGACCTAATTGAAAAAATCATATAAAAATAGGGATATTATACCTGATTAAACCTTTTAATAAATAACAATGAAACACGAGTCCTAAACTTGTGTTGTCTTCACGTATAAATTTAAAATAAGATGGATCAAACAGACATTGATTACTAAATACACTTTCATCAAATGATATAAATTAAGATAATTCACTAATGTCAAAAAGATGAACGACTTAATTTATGTAATTAAAAGGGATTTTCAAAGCTAAGCCGTTAGCTTTATTTCAATCGATTTAGTGAATTGAAAATGACAAGAAATTGGGCTTTACTTTAATGGTCCTTTCAGTTAGGCGTCGATTAGTGGTCTCAATAATAATAGCCCGCAGTTATGAAGTGTTGCTGTTAATGCACCTTCCTACCAATACGTGTCTGTACATTAATTGTCTCATAATTTTTGTATTGTTTTTTTTTCCATTCCATGTTTGAACAAATTCGAGCTAAAAGTAGTTGATTTGAATATATACGTGATAACGAGTATTTTAATTATTTTTTAAAATATGATTTCTTATTAACATTTTCATTTAAATATTTCTAAGAATCAGTTTAACAAATTAAATTTAACAGTACAATAATGACTTAATTCGATTGTGTAGGATTTTTTATTAACATTTATAAAACAAATTTATTCTTGACAAATAATTTTATTTGAATTTATAGTTCGTAGTAAAAAATATTTTTAGAAAAACTAATAGGATATATTTTTAAGAATGTTTTTTATTTGAGTCTGTATTTTAAATAATAATAACTTTTTTTTTTATAAAATGATTAATGAATATTTTTAAAATAAAATGTCATATATTCATGAGCCCAAACCCGTGTAAGTAGAAGCAAGGATAAAAGAGAATAATTGATCCAAGGCTCATGAATTAATTAAGTTAAAAATATGTATTTTTTAAATATGTTATTTTAATATGAATTCAACACACATATAAAAAATTCTAAGAATTTTTTGTATTTATTATTCATTATAAACCAAATACTTGTTAACATTTCCATCAATAAATATTTATACAATAATTCATTATCCTTATTTGAGTAATTAGTTATCATCGATTTTAATGTTATTGATAATTTTTTTTAAAAAGATATATATATATATATATATAATATTATATATATATAGATATATTATATATATATATAAAATGAAACATAAACTCAATTCATACACCAACTTCAACCAAAAATTAAACAAAAAAAATAATAAAAAAAGAGTCTTATTCCTTATACATCATTAACTTTCCTATTCATATTCAATATACAATTTAAACTTATATCATTCTCGACAAATACAAACCTTTATATATGAATTCTATCTTCTTT